AACACCAGCCCCGACACAACCGCGTTGCGCAAGTCTTCCAGGTAAGAATCCCGAGCCTGGGAACCAACGTAACGCCCAGGTCCTTCGTTTTTCACCAGGTCGGGCGGCGACACCGGGAGCTCGTGTGCCGTGTCCGGGCCCCAGTCTTCGTGCAGCAAGTCCGCCGCCTTCACCCGCAGTCTGATCAGCTGGGCGCCGGCGCACTCCAACACAACGTCCATGGCGGCGTCAGGGAATCGATCGGCAATGTTCCTCAGCACACCGACAACATTTTCTGACGCCGCCCTCTCACTGTCGGCTCCCAGGCGCAGCACGGCGTCGAACTCCCGCCTGCCGGGGGGGAATCCCTCCTCCAGATCCAGCATGCTCGGCCAGACAGCCATCGGCAGCATGGTCCGCGCGGCAAACACCTGTGCCCTGCCCAACACCGCTCCGGCCGCGTTCCACCAATCCTCATCCCCCACGAAGATCCGCACCCTATCCGCGACCAACTCGGCCGGCTTGGTCCCGCGGACCCTGACAGCCACACCGCGTCCAGGGAAGGTCACCGTGGCGCCGGTCACCTTGGCGAGGGGTGGCCCTGGCGGCAAACGAACCTGGATGACCATCATGGTCACGAGGCCGGGGAGGCGATAGACCGTAGCGACCAACACTCCTGCGCCAAGCCAGACCAGCACGTCCAACGCCCAACGCTTGAAATGGGACCAGGTGCATTCGCAAACCCGCCCGTAGGGCGCAGCCTCGAGCACGTCGGTCCAGTAGGGGACTGCCCGCCACAAAGTGGCCGTCATCAGGAGCGCCATAGCGACGAAAGGCAGATAAAGTATCAGTCGGAGTACTCGACGGGGTACGTCGAGTATGCTCTCGACGAGGAACAGGGCTCCCTCGGCGATGTCTTCCAGGGATGGTCCGTTCGGGTCAGCTTGCCTCCACATCCACTGGTGCCATCTCCATACCATCCAGACCAACGTTGCGCCGAGCCAGGTCATCACTGCGAAGGCAAACAGAGGAAGGAAAAGCAGCTCCAGAAGGAGCGCGAGAAAATGGTGCCACACCGCCTTCCTCAGGCCCCACTTCACGAAACTCTTCCCTTTGGCAGCTTCGAGCTCCTTTTTCAAGTCCCTCAGCATCGCCGCCGTGCGAATCCCCGTGAGCAAGGTGAACAAGAAAGGCAGTGCGGAAAGCACGTCCACGATCATCACCAACCCCTGGTTCGCTGTTATCCACACGTACGAGTTCGGCTCAGAAAGGTACGCCCGAATCAGTGCGCCTGCGCGGGGCAGTGCGGCCAGCCCGAAAGGGAACACGATCAACAGGTCGCCCGCCAGCCGCATGAAGTGTTCCCAGGCCGCACGGCGGAATTCCCAATGGGAAGCATTCCCGGCGGCTTTGCTCAGGGCATCCAAGACGCAGGCCGTGCGGTAGATCGAGAGCATGGGCGGCAGCAGGAGGGGAAGGTGCAGCAAGTCGATCGTCACGTTGAGCAGGATGGCGACCAGGGTCACGATCATCGGCACGAACTCGGAGGCGGCTCCCATTGTATTGGCGCCGCTGCCGATCCAGGGACTCGACGGGGAGAATCACAACAAACCGCGGTGACTCCCAGCTTCCAGCGCTGCGGCCTCGGCAAGCAACGGCCGACCCAAGGACACCCGCCAGAGAAGCGGAAGACGCCGAGCGGGTGCGCAGCCACGCCTCGTGTCCGATGGCGCCACAGGTACTCCACAGGCCAACGCCGCGGGAGCCCAGTTTGGCAGTGTCGCAACCAAAGTCACTGCAGGTGCCTGCGCTTTTGTAGCTACTGCTGTCTCGGTGGTGGCCCAGCCGCCATGCCGTGCGGCATGCCCATGGAGCCGCGGGGCGCTTACGCGTGCGCTCACGGGCTAATTACGAATGGCTTAGGGGTGACAGTGCGGCGAATCCGTTGCACTCCAAGTCAAACTGGCGTCAGGCTGTCGTTGTCGCAATCGCTGACGGAATGCTTCTTTCTTTGAAGGACGTGTCTGACGTGAGACTCGGCAGAACCCACCGTATCGTTGTCGTCAGCGCCGACGGAATGCTCTGTCGTTGAGTGACGGAAGACGGGAAAACGGTCTCATTCTGGCAGTGATGCGACATGATCTGTAGGTACCACTGGTGGAAAACGGCATGTTTGCGATGCCAACTGCGATGCCATTTTGACACAAAGTGGTGCCGTCACAGTTCTTGCGATGGCATAAAAATGGCTGTGATGGCATCAATATGTGTCAGTGGCATCGCAATTCGAATCGCAAATGTGCCGTTTTCCATTTGTGTACGGGTATAGAGGTACACGTCGCATTAAGCAGAAAGGGTGCAGCGTGCTTGGAAGCTGGCAATCTCCTATTCACTTGAGCCCCACTCTTGGTGGCGGTTATATTGATTGTTGGGACATACTTCACTAGCAAATAATAACATGGAACAAGACATCATCAAAACATCGTAACCATGCACACCACTATGTAACTGCATTCAGCAAACAACCATTTTTTGAATGAGGTCGGGAGTCGTATCAAATGAGCACAATCTTACCAAAGTTCTCAGAGAGATTTCTTGGAGGTTTCGTTGGAGCCATTCTACTTATTACAGCATTTTGAAGAATTAGATGCAAGAACCTGTATGTTCGCGTCGACCCCGAATCGAGAGCCCTCCCAATCATCCGTTGCCACGGTTGTGAAATATACTCCACAGGCAAACACCACGACGTCCCATTTTGCAGTGCCACAAACACAATCACGGAAGGTGCCCCCGCTTTTGCCGCTTCTGCTTTCCCAAGTGTTGACCTGGGCGCCATGCAGTGTGCAGCGTTCTCATGGAGCCGCAGGGAAAACCACCCATGGATGTTGCAAAACCGGTTATGAGCGCTTACGAATACCCTGATGGGCGAACTTACGCGCGCCTGCGCGTGCCCTCACGGGCTGAGTTGCGGACGGCTTAGAGGTGACAGTGCGGTTAATCCGTTGCACACCAAATCAAACAGGCGTCAGGCTCGACAACTATCCTGTGTCGTTGCCGCAATCGCTGACGGAATGCTCCTTTCTTTGAATGACGCATAAAAACGTATGCGAATCGCATCAGTTATTAGCACTAATGTGATACATATCTACTTCGTACTCTGCAGAGGTTTCGCCTGCTCCAGGCTTTGATGACGGCTATTTTGATTGATAGGACACACAATACTGGCAAGTAATACAATTTGACAGTATTATTACTTCATGGCTGAATGACTGTCGTACAGCTGTTGTCAACGTGAACTGCCACAGTTGATGTGGTCTAATGCAGTGCCATTCTGACATCGCAATTATGTGCAGCACCAACCCACCGTTTTTACCAACAAACGGGATTGAGCGCGGTTGAAATTTGTGTAAAATTGGCACAGTATTGCCAGTTCCATAGGACACTTCCTCTGTCCCAAAACACATATTCCTAATTCATAATGGTCACATCGTTACATATATGAAGTTGGCCAAAATTGGTAAATGTCTGTGGTACAGTGTTCTCGCAGATTGAAGCACTTCTATGCTCCCGCTGAAGCTCAGTTAAAATTTGAGTTACAGCAACCACTCTGGACTGTCATATCTCGCAGCAAGGGCCTGATGCGAGAAGCGCAATAGCTCGACATGAACGGGCGTAAGGCCATGAGTATGCATTTATACGCAAAGCATGATAACTAAATTCCCGAGAAAGTGATGTCACATGTGCGTCAGGATAGCCACCAATACATATTTACTGTCATTTGCATGTGGCGATTCTGAAGGTCGCAAGCGGACACCGCTTCTTCGAGAGTATGACTGGGATTGAATTTGGCTGCAGTCGTCGACACTGTTCCTGACATTGGCGCGATCTGTGCAGTTGCCATGTCTCCAAAGCAAGCGCTAAGGCGTAGCAGTTCTGGCAAATCCAGACTTGGTTTTACGTTTACTTTTACGTTTACTTTTGCGTTTTTACTTTTGCGTTTTTGCTTTTATGTTTTTACGCATGAAAACGTAAATTTGCAAAAGCGCCTATTTTTGCGGCTATTTTCAACTTTTTGCGGCTCACTGGAAAACCCAGGCTACACGATGAAAGCTGCGTACAATGATCAGTCTTCCACCATATCCAGCACCCGCAACACAATGTTCACCTCGCCCTTTTCAAGGGCGAGGATTGTGTTCAACAAAAACTCGTTTTCTGCCCCTTCCAGGGCGTCTGGCTGCCACTCTCCGGACTCCGCAAGTCTGTATGTACTGTCCTTGTGTACACCAGGAACTTTTTGCGTTGTATTTACGTATTTCTACACGTTTTTACGCGCAAAAACGTAAAAACTATATTTACGCGCAAAAACGTGAAAACTACATTTACACGCAAACACGTAGAAACTATCTTTACGCATAAAAACGTAAATAAGATCAGTTTTTACGGCGCAAAAACCAAGCCTAGGCAAATCAATGGAACACCGTCTCCCGGATGACGCCCTCCATGGCTACTATGCGTCCAACCAAGACGGTTATTTACGTTTGCGTTCTGCATTTGAGTTTTTACACGCAGAAACGTAATTGCAAAAGGGGCTATATGTTCGGCTGTATTTTCATTGCTACAGCTCGTTGTGGCACTCAAGGTACACGACGAAAGTCGTGTCCAATGATATGTCCCCCGTCCCCTCGAGCACCCATAGCACAGCGTCCACTGCGTCTTCGGCAAGTAGAACAAGCGAGTGGAACAAATATTCGTTTTCTGCTCACTCCACCGCATCGGGCTGCCACTCCCCGGGATCCCTATGTCTGTATGTTTGTTTGTTTGTTTCTTCCTTACATGGATGCATCGACATGGCGTCACGGCATCGATCAATGTCGTATGCCATGCAGTGTATGAAGGGCACGTCCAGGCCCACTCATATTGCAAAACACGCCTCTAATGGCGGTCGCAGCTGACTTCGATTCCTAAAAGCTCCCCCACACAAAACAGAAGAAAATTGTCTGCATGCCAAGGGAAAGAAGGGCACGCTATTCACTAAAGGGATCGCTGGCCTCGATGAAGCGAATTCTATCACCCACTGATCGTATAAAAGCTCCAAATCTCGCGCAGTGATTCCAAAACCAATTGCGCAAATTTTGAATAACAGTACCTTCTGAGTTAAGCCATTTCAAGCGCAAATCCTCCACCTGATCGCATTCAGAAAGAAAATGTGTGCGATTATAGACTTGCCCACACAGCACGCATTCCACCATCTCATCATCATCTTGCGGAATTCTGAAGTTGCCAAAGTGGCAGTGCCCAGTCATGAAACGGCCCACTAAAGACACATCTGATCGATGACAAAGGGCAGCATCTTCAGGACTCCGTGGCTGCCCTGTGTCCGGAAGGAGTTTCCACTCGTCGACCAGAGCCTCATCGATGCGATGCATGACTTGACGCTGCTGTGTCTTGTGATGCCCACTCCCTATTTCTGTATGTACTGTTTCTATGTACACGGGGCTGTATGTAGTGTTCTGTTTATGTATTTACACGCCTGTTTGCACGTAAATACGACCAGTTTCTACAGCGTAAACAACCAGCTTGAGTCCAACGCTTGCACGACGATCTGGAAAGCTGGCCTCTCTTCCGTGGCACAGAGTCTGCACTCGTAAACAGGGTGTCTGAGGCTGGTGAGCAGTGGAGCTGTGTTCATGAACGCGAAATTCTCTGAGCTTTATGCGGTTGCCAGCATTGCGAGGGCTGAGACTGATCAGTCGCTGCTTTCGATTTTGCCCGTGGCGACGTTGGCTGGAAGCCAAATGCGGGGAAACGACGAGTGCAAAAATCGAAGGCACTTTAACAAAGGCCAGTTCAAACCATGGAAATCAGCATGGGCCTGGCAGCCTGTCAGACTACCAGTTTTCACTTAGGCGTTACCATTGCACCGCGACCCCTCAGCCTGTAATCAATGGAAGACGAGAAATACTCCCTCCGTCTGGAATTAAACGTCCGGATTTGTTTGAGAGCTTGATTATATCACGCACTTGCCATTTTTTTAAATACGACAGAGCATCCTCTGGAAGGGTAATTGAATCCCTCAAATTTTTGTGGCGAACGGTGGAGTACACCAAACTGGGCAAGACATCGGATTTCACTATTCTGGACCAGAATTTGTACCTCATCAGGGTGCACCGTCCACGCCAGAAAGTGGCATCCGGGTTCCTGCAACACCCTAGACAAGAGCAGCGCACCCTCCCTCGGGCTCCACGGTACCAAAAAGGTGCTGTTGCCAAACCTGCTCGTGTGCTGGCCCGGCGGTCAGCGTCGATGGCGCTGGGCGCCGCAAGAAATGGCGGTTGGGTCCGCTTCGGTTTCAAGATGCCTTGATGGTGCGACGCTGGAAAACCTGTCGGCTGCACGGCCATGGGTGCATCCTAGTACGAACAGCAAAAACTTTTTGCCAAACGATCACCATCTTCCAGCATCGTACAGGCTGGATTTCAGGCACGTTCGCACTGTAGATATTTGGGAGTTCCGCATTAGTCTAAGCTCTCCAGGCCATCGACGAAGATCCTGTACCGTCCAGCACTCGGCGCAGCAGAATTTGCGCGTTTCTGGTCCTCAGCCGCAACTGTGGTACCCTCTCTCCTGTGCTGTCGTCCCGTGAGTTCTGGTACCACAAGCCGCCGCGCGATCATCTCATGCCTCTCCCATTATCGGACTGGGCGGCATTTTCACTAGGGAAAAAGGGCCGAATAACACATGTTCCAACGTGTACAAAGTTTGCGTGTTTGAGTTGTTTCCGTGTCTTCAGCATGCGCATAACACTGATGAAATGCATATTTGTGTGTTGGCAGAAAGTGTTGTTTGATCCCTTTTGTTGCTAGTGTTTGTCGGGTATCCCCCTGCCACGCTGTAGCAAATTGTTTGATTGAAGCATACTAAAGGCCACCTGCTAAAGGCATGTTCCAGCAAGTCAACTTCCGCTCCAATTCCACTTTTCGGAGACAGCTTTCCAGAAAACCTTGCTACAGGTCCAGTTATTTCTTTCGTAATGGCGGCACCTGCGATTCCGTTACATTTGTGCGATTTGGGTCGTTCTAAGCAGGCTTTACAACAATAATGCACTGATCGATGAGATTCAAGTGCTCAAATTCAATTATATAAATAGCTGCCAATTGCTTTTCTGTGCTACTATGTGCATTTCTTTGCAAACAAAAGTACTGCAGCCATTTCTAGCTTCCTATTACTGTTGAAAAGCTCCAACAAAGTCTTTGGTGAGACCTGTCTCTGTTGGATTGTCTAGAGAACCACCTCCACACTCCATTAATATGCATGGGAAGTGCCCGCAATTGAGCAGACTGACGCCTCGTTTTCTTATTCCTACCTGACCCCCAGCACAATGTACAGCAAGAAACACGGTGTGTTGCGAGCCTCTTGGAACATGACCTGGCCTCGTTCTCAATGAACGATGATGCGCCTTATGCAACTCTAAAAACATCCTCACAAGTCACAGCGCCACCACCGCCGCACGCAGTTAAGTCAACAACGCAGTCGGCAGAGCAGATGCGCACCCATGGCCCCCCCCTCGGACGCGCACCTTATTCGGCAGCCTTGTGCCCCGTGCCCGCCCTGCTTATCTGCTCCTTGGCGTGCAGGATCTTGCTCTTCGCTCTCGCGAGTCCCTCAGCCGCGGCTCTGGCGGCGTCCAGCCGGGCACCCGGCTCGAAGCCCTCCAGGGTCGCGAGTCCCGACCCGCGGGGGCTCTGCTCCGCCTCCTTCTGCGAGTCAAGCGTCCTCCGCTCAGAGACTCGGTTCCCTAGGGCGTGAGCCGCCGACGGCACCCGTACACTGTCTTGGGGGTTTGCAGAGGGTGCGGGCCCCGCCAGAGTTTGCGTCGGCGCCGTCGTCAATGGCGGTGCTTTGGAGGCTCCGGCTGCGAACAGGACAGCAGTCAACGACGTGTCGTGTGGCATGAAGGCGTGTACGGTACCCTTTGGTGCCACCGTACATATGCGGTCCCTGTCCAGAAACGCATGGTCCTGCAGGCAGCGGATCCATCCATCAAGCTGTGTGGCTGTAGGAATTCATGAGTAACAGAACATCGTTTCTGCTACGTTGCGCGAAGCGGCAGCGACCAACGCAGTGTTAACCGTTGAAAGGGGTTGCAATCGAAAGCTGAAATCGGTACCTTTAGTATTACTTCTAGCAGCGCAAACAGTTATCAACATTCATGACAATGCATGTTTACAGCACATCCACCAGTATCATGCAAGTATGATATATTCATGCCATAACTTCATAGCATCAAGGATTTAAGTGATTCACATAAACATTCATGACTAGTAGTGGAGAAGTAGTATGTACGACCATTGAACTCCTTTTCCACTTCGACGGATAGGGTGTTGTATTCTATCAAGAATTGTTCGTCGGTGCTTTGGTGGGCCGCGCACCTGCCAGCTGGTAGCGCAAGCGTCCGTTCTCCTCGCTCAGCTGCTCGGCCCTTAACAGCATGAATTCCATTTCGTCACGCCGGGCACCGTCCCGCCTCTGCTCATTGTCGACTGCCTCGACGATGTCCTTTGGCGGAGGTTTGCTTCAGCACAGAACAATCCTCTTCTTTGAAACTTCGTTTCGAAGTGAAAAGGGACTGGAAAATTGGACAAATGTCTTTGGATCGAATTGGGTTTTTCATATCGATTAAGTTCTATGCATAATGGCCATTAGCCTGGGTCAAAGTTGCACTAGAGCTTTGGTTCGTGGGCGCTTCTATGAACCGGGACAATGATGCTTCGGTGCTCGGCAATATTTGGAGAATGTAATGGCAGCATGGAAATACAACGGAGTTTCCACTCACCTTCGCATGCGGACCACGCTTGCTGAACTGACAGACAAATCGATCCATGGATACATTACTGGATTTCCGTTGCACATGTTTGTCGAGCCCTAGCCATTCTTATCTGCGTCCATTTTTCACATTTTCTTAGCTTTTCCATCTCCGTTTGCATGCCCGTAAAGAGACGCAAATTCAGTGGATTCACAAACTGTGAACTGTGAATCAGCGGCTGGACGATTGACCGGTTTGCTTTTGTGGTGTATAAATTCACAAGCCCATAACGCGTCCCCTCTTTTATCGACAGATCGATGGACCTTTCACTCAGTCAATTGCTTGAGAATGCGAATGACTCACTGGCAAACTGACTAGTTGATAGCTGGAGCTGATCGACTCAGTGCGCGCGTGAATCCATGCCACCGCGCATGGCCACCTGTGCCTCTCCATAAACTTCTTTCTCTCCCGGTGCAGCTTCTTCCTCGCCCTCGCGAGCTCCCGCTCCTCCGCGCTGGCGCCCCGACGCCGCTGCTGCTGTGGCGACGACCCCTCGGACGTCTCCCCCGGTCCGGGCCCATGTCCGCAGGCCTGTCCCAGCCCGCCCGGCCTCCACCACCCCTGCCCACTCCGCTTGTCGGCCCCGGCCTTTCCCTGAGTCCGCCGCCTGTTGCCACGCCGGGGATTGGGTGAGTTCCGTCACAGCGTGGGGCACCTCTCACCTCCCACCTGTTTGATGTGGGACAACAGTTATCATGCCCGGCTCACGTAATTGACTGACGCTCCATGGGTGTTAAGCACATTGTGAGTCTCAACTTTTGTGTTGTCGATTATCTGCTTTGATAGCTGGCCATATGCTTGATATATCGAGTTGGGCCAAAACATTGAAGTTCTCCGCGCCAGGAACGTGAATATGCGGGGGCGATGTTGGTACGACATATCCAGCCCAGCCAACACACTGTCTCGTCGTCGCTGAGACGTTTCTGCTGCAGTTTTGCTGTTAAAGAATAGCGCAATTTGCAAATTCACAAATGCACATTCTGAATCCTTCTTCAGCCAGCTTTGCATGTATTCCTTGTCCGTTTCGCCATCACCATCAATGGAATTTCTCATTTATCTCAATGGGGAGGGCGGCAATAAGACATCTGTGTTAGGAAAATAACAAATGGCTCATGATCATTTAAGAAACTGTGATTCTGGAGAAATATTTCCTGGCAAATCCCACATCTTGTGCAGTAGCACAACTATATAATATCGCGAAATTTGACTAATTTTGATGTTTTAGTATGTAATTCCCGACTCAATGCTCATGTGAGGGACGGGACAGCGTTGGTAGTGGAAATTGGTGCTTTGAACTTCACACGTTCGCAAAATGGAAAGTGTGTCTATGAATTTTCTGGTATTTATAGCAACGGAAGTCCATCATGCCTTGCGTTCAGCGTGGATGGAGGTGTGATGCATCGTTTATAGCCGCACGAGTTATTCGGTGCAACGAATTGTCGCGGCATCGGCATGCACGTAATGCTGGAAATCCAGTGAATGCAACAACATTGTTTATTTGGATCACACTTACCACATAATTCCGCGCAATGACACACAACAAATTAAGAAATACATATGAATTTGCCAGCCGCATGGATTGATACAATCGATAGCTCAATTGAGCGCTTGGCGAGAGAAATGCACCCAACACAGCAGCGAAAAGCTTGGCTTTCGTTCCAAAAAATAAGGCTGCTAACGGTGGGATGTAGCGCAACCTAACCTGCTGTCACCAAGCTTGTCTACAAATTCTTGCAGGGCGGAAAGTGTGGTCTCCAGAAGCATCTCAGTCTTTGAGCTCGTCTCCCCAGGCCCGTGGCGCGGATGGCCGCCGACGGGACTCGACCTTCCCCCCTGCGTCCCTCGAGCCGCATCTGTTCCGCCGAAGGCCCTTTGAATCGTGGCGCAGCCCTCCAGCTTGTGCTTGCTTCCTGCCACAAAATCGAATCTTTAACAAAGCTGCTCTACGTCCTAAGATTCATGCTTCATGCATTTTACCAATTTAAGAATCTCCTCATTTTGCAAATGTTGACAGGAAGGAATGCAGTCCCTGCAGCCAAGAAGCGGTGACGCAAGCAACTGGCGCTGGTTCAAGATTTTATTGATTATCCATGCCACCGAAACACGTATTACTTGTTTAAACAATGCAGCGAGATTCATCCCATGTGTCGTGGATTTGAAAGTGTCAGGTTGTGTCATACGCAAGTACATTTATTCCCATGGATTCCGGTCATAAGTCTAATGTGTAACATTGATTAATTTGATGTCCATGACGAGAAAAGCAGCCCCTCACAGGAACTTCAAATCCAAAGCGTGCAGAATGTTGTGCCAGCGAAGAGCCCAATCCATGACGAACGCCATCATTTGGGCTTTCGCGAGTGTGACGGTGGAAAACGGCCAAGGGGAAACAATAAATCACACGTTTGCTACACTGTCATGCTACAGAAATTGCATTGTTGCATGAGATCACAGTAGTAACCATCCACTCTGCAACAGTATTTTGGTGCAATAGTACTGTGGCTATCGAGAATAGTAGTACCCGGAGAAGCCACTTCCTGCTGCGCGTCCCGCCTGGGCGACGGTGGCCGCGTTGGTGACTGCGCGATCTCAATTTGCCGCTTCAGCTCCGTGACTTCCCTTTCGGCGGACTTGGCACGTCGGTCCGCCTCCTCCAAGGCCTTCTTGGCCTCCAGTCTCTCTTTCTGCGGCACAGCACATCCCCAATGGACATCTGTGGCAAGTGTTAATCAAGGCATGAAAGGGAGGTTGATTTGTTTCGTGATACATTATCAACTAATTCAACAGTAACAAAAGGAATAATGTTGAGTTGATTGATTTGTCAGCGACTCGAGCATCCAATCAGTCAATCAGCGATTTGATCGTCTTACGCTCAGGTGACGTTTCTATATCAAATTGACATATCGCAAGCCTAATATGCTAAATGCAACATAGGCATATATTATGGTACAGCGGGGTGGCCTCTTTAAGGCCGCCCTGAATAAAGCCAAACGGTCAATAAGGCCGGTTAAAGTCGGCCATATCTGGTGGCACGACCTAAAGTACTAGAAAGACGTGGCCACAGGCAGTTTGAGCATCTGGGGGTCGCCGCCATGCCTTGCCTCGAAGGCAAGAAGCGCAGACCTGCCCATGACGCCACCCAACCGCCTCATTACAGCCGCTTTTATGCCATCGCACTCACTGTGACGGCATCGATTTGTGTCAAAATGGCATCACAACTGGCATCGCAAACATGGCGTTTTCTACCAGTGTATTATTAGGCGCCGCGTGTATCGCAATAATCTTTGATAAAATTATGCCAATGAAAAACGGCATATTTGATGCAGTCAAAAGTGCACGTTTTGGCCCTTCTTGCACAAGGATTACCCTCTTGTACAAACTACCAAAATCTAACCCATATTAACATGGACTGAGACTGTGTTGGAACAACCTTTCAGGCAAAAGCTGCCGAATAATTTAGAGTATGCACCAAAAACGCTGTTTGTGGAAAACGCTACAATCTAGCGCTTTATGAAGGAACAATGCTTGTACAAGGCTTCCCAGAATAGTGTTTTTTGGACGAATTTCCTCCAGGGTGTCAATATAAGACTTGCTGCTGTGTTGCACCACGATCCAGTGCACCTGTAAGCTTTGCAGCACCCTCTCCGCCTTCTCTTTCGCCCGACTGTCCTCCCCTGCGCTTTTAGTTGAAAGCTGCCGTTGCGCTGCATGTCGCTGCTTGCGCTCACGGTTGCAGTCGTCCTCAGAGCAACGGAGCTGTCAACCAATCCACGAATGCATGAAACCAGCTCTCAGTTTTACATAAAGGTCGTACATGAAAATAATCACCGAAATAATTAAGGTAATTGGGAGATGAAAATGAGGGGGATAGTCCTAATTAAATGAATGATAAACCCTGAAATGAAGCAGCAGCCTCCGTGGATGCCCAAACAATTATGTGATGCAATGAGCATTTTGTTGACAAGAATACAGACATTATAAGTCGCACCCAGATTATTCCATTGAGAAAATTCAAAAGAAGCGTTTGCGCGGCCCAATCTACAGCAAGCAGAAAAACAATTCCTCCGGACCTTTGTCTTCAGAACATCTACTTCCTTCAGGCAAGTGGCCAACTCCATTTGCAGCTCTTCTACTTTGGACTCGGCACCGAGAGCTCGAGAATCCATTTCGCCCAACTGCCTGCATGAGCACATCACCGGAAAATTTGGTGGAAAACGACGGGACAAAATTTGCGTGTTCATTATATGTGCTTCCTCTGCCCCATTTCTTATGGCCTCTATGATTTTGACGACGTATTTTTCCATCATCGATTTTTTTTCAACAAAATTTGACAAAAGCTGTTCTTTTGCATTTGAAGAATGATTTCAAAAGAACAATTCAATCCGTTAAGTACTGGACAGTTCGCAACATTCGTAGCAAGGGTAATCTTCCTAACAAGCATCGAAATATTTTCGCTCGGAAAACATCAAATTTACAATTAAACAACGCTCAAAGATTTCGGAACTCACTTCCACTGTTTGGAAATTGGTATTTTCAGGTTAATTGATCCAATCCTATCGATGGTGACATTATTTTGTAGTTCCGAGCCGTCATTCTAACAAGCCTCATCTTTAAGAAGACCACACCCAATTTGGGACAGAGGAAGTAGCAAACATTCACGGTGGAGCAGCGCAGCAGAAGCAGCCAGATACCTTGCTCCGACGAGGAAAATACCATTTCTGTACGGTGGTGCCTGCGCCTGTTGGGTGTTCAGACTGGAGAGTAATGTGGGCGATTCCATAAAATAGTGATAAGGAACAGATACATAGCACGCAGCGATATGCAGCTTTGCATATACACAATGAGCCTGTACACGTAAAGAAATCTCAACATGGAATTTACCTCGTCGCGAGAGCCAGGGCGTTTTTGCCCTCCTCGCTGTTTGCGACCTCATGGCTAAGAGCGTCCTGTAGGCCTGCTTTCTCATTCTGTAGAAGCAGAGTGCATGGAAAATTACGCTGTAGTAATAATGCGTGTCAGTTCATTGATTTGTTGATCAGAAGGAAATATTCAAGAGTCAAACATCCAGCGCACTTTGAACACAGCACGCCCATCGGATACGTACGTTCAAATTATAAAATGTCTTGGAGTAATTAGTGGTGCCAAACACTTCGAATCTGACGGTGTAATGTATACCATGTCAAACAGATATCCTTCGGCCGTATCCGTTCCTTAACGTCACAAAAATGCATTTTCTGTTTCATTTTATTAATTCTCTTATCAAGTCATTACGGATAAATACACCAAAACACCAAGATACCTGGAATTTCGGTCCTCGCTGAGACGCTTGCCTTCACAAAGGTTGATTTGGAATAGTTTGCGTACTTTACAACGTAAAATCCACATATTCAAGCATTTGAGTTTCATCATGTGGGTATTCGACTATATTGTTCTGTTCATGATGTCGCAACCCATCACAATACTTGTGCGTCATTGCAATGGACATCGTGGCGCTTCTCGAGGTGTCTGCAGCGAGGACATCAGTGGCTCCACTGCGATTTCAATGGCTTGCATCTCTGTGAGACTGGCCTCAAAATCTGGGTGCTCCCAAGGTGATCAAGTCCTTAGATCCCAACATCCAGCCGCAAACACCAAAGCAAATAATTGACAATTACATTGTTGCACTAAATAAAGGAAACTATATTTAAAGAATTAGCTATCATAAAAGTGCATGAAGAGAAAAACACATGTATATACGTTGCGCCCCAACCTCCAGCTGTCGAGCTGTCTCTTGTATTTCCTTGAGCCTTTGCTTCAACGATCGTTTTTCTGCCAACAATCTTGCCTGTTCGCTCGCTGTTTTCGCTGCCTCAGTCGCCTGGTGGTGTCATTGAATGACAAAAGTTAACCATATTGTTGAAAGACGTAGATGGTTAGAAATTTGAAATAACCATCCATCCATCGAGCCAATGCAATAAGTACATCGATGACCAGTCGGTCATGACACCCCGTTTGGCACTTGCTTGGGGGACATTAGCAGCAATTCCTAGACGTTCTCAGTGCAATCGCCAATATGAAAATGGAATATGTCAAACGCTTTTTACCGATATCACCTGGTCAAGGAAAAACATCCAGTCAAAGAAAGAGAAAAAAAAACAACCGCCTGTGCGTCAGCCAGCATTGGCCACCGCCTGAATCTCTCGCCATCACGTCTACCCCGCACGACAAAGCAAACCCTAGCATGCCGGTGTGCAGCAAGTTCAGTGGCCTGCAGTGGGTGGCGAATAGGCCACTGTTGGCCGCATGCCAAAAAGTCGCCACATTGTTGGATCCAACTTCGCTAGCTGCATCTTGATGGATGCTGCCGTTTCTCGCACTGTGTCTCTTCAGGTGACAAAATAAAGGATACACGAACTATTGGACTCATAATAGGCAAAGCGGAAAGAGCAATATGTATGCCAAATGCCATCGTACTACTCATATATTACGACAAAGTGTCAAGTGCAAGGAACGCGCGGTTTGCAGGCACATAACAATTTTATACTGTTACACGCTGTGCTCAGCGACAACCTTTGGGACTGGCAGTATTCGATGTCTATGCACATAATATGACAGACCAGCGGATTGAAGCTGCCGACATATTTGTCACCACCTGTCCCCATTCAAGCACGGCGAAGTTGCCGCAAGTCGTTTCTTGCAAAGAGCGCTGAAGCGGAGCTAGACGACTCGCCAGTCACCGCGTTGCACATAAAAGGTGTACAAACTTGTAAAATTATTCTTTTGGGGAAGATATTACCCGTGCATGTGTGTCTGTGGCTGCTGCTAGGTCACCTGTCGGTCGCAACGGTCTTGAAGCTGCTCCATCTTTTTAGCGCAAGACGCCGCATTGGTGGACTGTTCCTCTCTCGCCATGCACAGCTCTCCGCGAATGCGCTCGAGGTCGCCCAGCAGCGCCTGCACAGAGCATCCTGCCATCGCATCGCTGACAGCACAATTGCAGTAGTCGCGACTTGTATTATCACACATGCATGACAATCAACGGAAAACAGAGGCATGTTGTATGAGCGTGTTTGAATCATTCGGCAATTTACAGCGTCGAGAAGATACCGATGCTACACGAAAATTGTATTTGCGGGTGCATTAGCTCATAATTATCGGGGGATTGAAGTGGCTCGGCCTGAAAAGCAGTCCCCTCGGTTCAGGAAACGAAAGTATCTCTATCATTAGAATACTGCACGTGTCCGATGCCCTTCATTTGTGGACAGGGAATTCACACAGTTCCCAGATGCCATTTTCCGTACAGGGTATTTGGCCCATTGTACTCTCCGTGGCCTTCACGGCCCCTTCATGATCTTCATATCCGGCAACGGTAGGCATAGGACAAGCCTCCGTGATACCAACCTTGGCATCAGCTCAAGAACAACGCCAGTTTAAAGTGAGCTCCGGGAGGATCTGTAGGAATTCACCCCATATTGGCACTTGCTAGCGGATGTCTCGCAGGCTCTGCGGAATGGGGGAAAGCCATGCCCGAGGAAAGAAATTGCTGTAACGCATAACGCCAGAGCGTGTTGCATTTTCTGCATGTTTGCATGGGGGTACACTTGCCTGAATTTCTTGATCCTTGGCTTTCAGGTTACTCTGGCAGTCCTCCGCAACCTGTTCAACAAATGGTGGGCGGGGCTTCAGGGTGCAGTGTGGTTAGGTCCAAAATTCTTGGCGCATTTGGTGTCGCCAATTACCAGAATAAACGGCTAAAAGTGTCACTGCGTTTACACCAATCGCAACTAGCAAATTCGTCCCTCTCGGCACACGACGTATTACTAATACAAAATGTTCTGAAATTCAAAACTATGCTAAACACGGCAACAGTGTTTGCAGATGGGCAACTTCTGCCATTAATTTAAACTGCCAATTTTACACAATTCAGGGAATTTGTTTGTGAATTTAGTATACATTCGGCCGGCGCCGTAGCCGCGTGAAATTTTGAAACTTAAAACTAATAACGAGACATGTTCAGAACGGGAAACTTCTCCTTTCGTGTCGTCCACTCTGATATAGTTTCTACTGCAACAAATTCATTGCAAAAACAAAAACAATGCAGCACCGGCCTTTTCAAAAAAATGTATAACAAATTGCTATGAAATAATAAGCAGTATGCCACATTTTCCACAAAACAGTATTCAAAATTTCAAATTCGCACCTTCTTGTGCTCTGCTTCCAGGCGGGTCATTTCCTCGTCTGCCCCCTCCAGCCTGTCCCGGAGGATGTGAACTTCGGCGCTCAGCTCCTCCTCCTGTGCAATTTAAATTAGAGCACCACTGTTCCATTCCTGGACTTTAATGAAAATTTTTGTGTCATTAGTACCAGGTAATAACAAGCTGCCAATGGACGTATACAGAATACTTCATGAAAGAAAGCAGAAGATGGGTCTGAATTTTAGCGCGAAGAAGGTAGAAGTAAAAGTTTATGCAACTGCGTTGGCACATTTCTATTGATGCAGCTCAGCGAGAAGCTGCAGATCCCGCGAAGTGATAATGTTGGTAATAGCCTATGCGATTCTCAGCGGCGCAAAACGATCGGAACACGGAACCCTGCGCTGCTTTTTAAGCAATTGAATCAACGCGAAGGCACGAGCTGTGTTGCGTCATCTTCAACACGAAATTGCTAGGCCAACGGATTGCAATGCATAGACAGATGTTGCACTAATTTAGCAGAAGCAAAAGAATGCCAAATCGGCGATTTCTGGTGTTCTTGCTGTGCTCCGTGGAGGTGACGCCCAGCATAACGACTGGGATTGAGTGCGCAAGGTCGTTTCTCATCTGCACCCAAATACACGGGCCTGCAAGTGCAAAAAACAGCCAAGAGTACTTCGCATATGAACGACGGAGGCACATTGCTTTGCGCAGGCAGATGTTGCATTTAGCCGACTACCCACAATAGACAAAGCGCAATTTCCACACGACCACATCTTTAAATTACGCAATAATTAACCCAAAAGCACAAAGAGTCGCATTATGGAAAAGAAGGTACAAAAGTAGCCCTGCGCAGCATTGCCTTTGAATGTGAGCAGCCCGTGGAGTTGCATTGGTCATGTGCTCTTGATGTGAGGGTGCATCTCAAGCCCACCCGTCTGCTCTTGCCATCCAGATGCCGCTTCAGCTCTGCCACCGCCACATCACCCTTCCGAGTCTCCTCCAGCTGCCGGTTGCAATCCAGTAGCAGCGCCTCGCGCTCTTGAGACGCCGCTTGGCGTTCCGCCTTCAAATCTGCGGTGAACTTCTCTTGGGCTTCGCGGACTGCAGTCTGCATCTGTACCACCACCTCGCGCCTGATGAGGCACAAGCGGCTTGTTCTGTGCGTTTGAGCATAGACATGCATTTGTACGTCCGTCTTCCCAGATGTACGCAAACAGACGAACGTCTGCGCAGAAGCAGATGTATGGGCACTGTATGCGCCGAACAAAGGATCACCGTTTGCCGAGTGCGTACGCGCCAGATGTGCGTATAAATAGATATGCGCTTAGACATATTTTGGCAGATATACGTGATGACAGGTAATGCATACATGCCAACTGTCCACATCCGCCGCCCTCTACACTAGGAAAAAAGGGCAAAATAAAACGTGTTCAAATGTGTACAAAGCTTACGGGTTTGTGTTATTTTTGTGTTCTTAGCGTGCAGAGCTTTGATGAAATGTGTTTTATGTGTGTTCGCAAAAGTGTTATTTGGCCCTTTGTTCCTAGTGCTACCACACCCGGATCTCGCACCCCAGGTTCACCAGTGTTCCCCTATGATATACTGCGCAGTATTGACACCACCATCACAGCAGTTTGGAGCATTTTTTTTGCGCCTTCGCAGCGCCATCTGCCTCCATGACACCGATGCAAAGTAAGGATCCAACACTTGAAAGATTCTTGTTGCTTTTAGAAGCTTGGCTGTGGTCTTACGTCCAAGCTATCCAGAAGTCCAGTGCTATTGCTTCCAATCTCCACTGGCCCTGCCGGTGTGACCGCATTTGTGTGCATTCCGGTCCAGTGCTCTCAACTGCATTTCATTGCCGTGAACTGGTCTTCAAGTAATATTTAATTTGATGCATCACATACTGCCAGCTCATCGCCAGCGTGATTGCCTCTCCCGATATGGATGTTCTTATGTATTGCGCTTGCGTATGGCATGAGGCATGATAACAAAAGTATATTAATCTCACGATTTCATTAAATCACTAAAAACTACTGCCATAAATTCAAACTTCTGTGCTTATTTGCCGAGTGTAAGCAGCTGACATTATAAGAAACGCTATTTCGTTTTTTGTTCGGCAATAGAAAGCCTTGCAAAAATTTTTGGACGTATTAGTTAGTCGGGTCGCGTTTCCAATAGTCCAACTGCTCTGGTCGTTTCCTTGGTGAATTTTTTCACCATTGAATGTGGTCCCCCACTCGCTCACATTTTGTGCCTCTCCTCCTGCATCTGTGCCTGTCCCGTCTGCAGCTCCTCCTTGAACATTTCCTCCAGCTTGCCATTGCGCTCGGAAGCCTCCGCCACAGCGAGCTCCAATTCGCTCATCTTTTGTTGGCTCTTAGTCAGCAGCTGAATGACAGCACAATTGCAAATACTGAAAACATATGCCACATTGAAAATTGCGACCTCTCAGTTGGGCATTGTCAGCCGGTCAAGCAGCACTGTTGTTTTGTTTCATGTGTTACACAACGCAAACTACTAATCCAAAGGATTGGATTGATTCTTCCACAGGCAGCTTATAATCTCAGGTGGATGCCTGGAAAGCGCATGATGTGAACTGAGGCGGACATCATCTGGGGTGAGCATGCCTGAACATTCATCGGATATATCCGTTGTTGATCTGAAGACTCCCCGTTTATCTTGAAGGACCCCGCTGGCACACATCGGCTCTGAAAAAGTCGCTCGAATGCAGCTATTTACGCGAGATGTGCGTCGCTTATCCTCGGCCGAGGAGACCGCACTCTGTTTCCTTGCGTGAAATCGACCAATGCGGCCATACCTAGGGATGGGAGCTGCTATGTTTCAGATTGCCTGAACACATAGCTTCCGTCTGAGGGGGGCAAAACTGTTCGAGGCGTTCACTGTGCAACCGACGTTATGAATACTTACACCATGTTGGATACGCTGACTTGTGTTCCTCAAGTCACGCGACCAGTTTGGGGGCTTGAGGGTTCGCAGCTTCGGATGTAGCAACCGTGTAGATTACAGTTACACGTACATTGAGAAACAAGCCCAACACAAAGGACAGGGAAATCTTGGAAGGGAATGTAAGCGTTGAGGCGCTGCGGGAATTGGACTGATGGCTATCGATTCCTGATTACCCCGAAGTCTGGATCTTCACTTCCTACATGGATTTCTCCATCAATCTGAATTGTCTCCTGATGTACTCTACTAAGTACCAACTCCCAACAGTCCTCCGAAATTGCTTGTATTGAATTTGTGGTGGCTCCTGGACATAGTCTTCAATTCGAGCAAGAACATCACTATTTCCCGCATCTAAAGTTTCTGGGCTTCCACCAGCTCATCGGTCCTAATCTCCAAGTGGCCAAACTCAGGCAATTTAACGTGTCTACCATATCCCCCACGTGATCTCAACGCTCACCGTCTTTTCTGAGCTTCCACTCCCTTTTCGGTTCGGCTTTCTTCCACAGCCAACGTGCAGTTCCAATCTCGATCTACTGAAACTGCCAACTGCCCTCGGGATGTCGTTTCAGCCACAGGGTGTGTTCCAAACTGTCGCTCCATTATAGAGAGGCTAGTCCCATATTTTGGGGATCCTCAATCAGCGGATCCGACCAGATTTTATGCATAACAATATTGTTTCACATGTTACACCCATGTCCAGTTTTGGCTCCTTGGACCGAAGCCACTGTGTCAAGCGATGTGACACAATCTAAAGCACAACAGTACCAATCTAAGGCACGGCTGCCTGGGTTCGACACGCGCAACAAAGCATATTGCGTCCTTCTGGCGCCTGATGGAGGCAACGCGTTCCGCGCTACCAATCACGCTCCACGCCCATTCCAGTCTCTTTCTTTAAGGCAAGTGATCGTGGGTACCAAAGCACACCTTAACAATTGCAAGCCTCTGCTTGACATGGCGACACACCAAGGCCATTGTACGCATTGGCTCACTGTACGTAGTGGTGGCCACCTTGACTTGTGATTCTCATAATATCGGTGACCACAACGAGACAGAAATATCTAACAGACGCTGGCCATAGTGTCGATGGTGTTGGCCGAGTTCTAATACATAACAGTTCATACGACAAGCAACACAGCGACGTCAGTACGCTCGAACAGACTTGTTATTTAAGTTATGTTTATATTTTTGCATTTACTGTTTTTATGCGTAAACACGTAGATTTTGCAAGGAGGGCTGTTTTTACGGCTGTATTTACGTCTTTAGGCTCGTCGTGACATGACAAGAGTCGCGCAAAGTACTCAGTCCTCCACACCCGAATCCACGTCGACTTTGCATTTTGCAAGGCCCGCGACCGCGTGGAACAAAAGTTCATTTTCTGCCCATTCCAGCGCGTCTGCCTGCTACTCTCTGGACTCCCGAAGGCCGTACGTACTGCCCTTATGTACAATGGGGCTGTATTTACGCTGCCTTTAGGTATTTTTACGAATTTTTTGCGCAGAAAAAAATATTTTTACGCGTAAAAACATAAATGCGTTCCGTGTTTACGGCGTAAATAACAAACCTGGGCTCGAGCGGCCGTTATCACCGAATTGCGGCTGCACAGTACATTATTTCTGGTGGCCGAAAATGAGACCAGTGCCTGTATCCTACATGAGCGCATCCATCATTTCGACATTAAACTCCCGCAACATTTAGTCGTAATGCTTTTGTGCAGAGTTCAGTGTTTGCAATAAAATACTGTGCTTCTGTACTGATATTGAATATCAACAGGCATTGAAGTATTTGTTGTACACAGAACAGATTGGCAAGTCGAATAATCGCAGTTGGGCACTCTGTGCCCATGCCGCACTCACCACTTCCTTGGCCGCCAGGGTCAGCTTGAGCCCTTCCAAAGACGAGTCCGCATTCTCCAATTCCTTGTCCCTCTGCTCTAACAGCTGCCAAGAAAACTGTTGTTACGCAGATCGATGTTTCGAGAGAGCAAATAGCACCATCTGAACGCCATCACAAGCGCAATGCAAAAATGGTTGCATGCGCTCGAACCGGAACAATGCACCGCAAAAGAACGCTCAATGCAAAATGGAAGAATTAAAACCTTGCTTGGAGATATAAATCCACATATAGATTGGAGTACAACAATAGTATGAAAGACATATTCTTGTATCAGATCTTTCAACCGATCACATTTCGTGCACGCGGACATGTAATTGGCCCAGGCTCTCCAGTCGGAGCTGGTTGAGATCAATTTGAGAGGCATAGATGTGCTCGTCACCCAGACTTCTTTAAACACTGAGTGCCAAACCCTCGGCGTCCACATCGACAAGAATGAACCAATGTCTAGCGGAACTGGTCCAATTGGCGCTGTGAGTTTCTCAGCTGGAAAGTGTTAGTTAATTCACCGAAGCATTTGCTTTTGACCACTGAGAACAAAGCATTGCACCAATCCCCTGCATACAATTGAACCAATTTTCTGACAATCTCCTTATGTGACAAGTCTAAAGCGCCCTAGTTTGATGTAGGCTGATGAATTGTTGCACTGTACATTATCAATTCTTTAGTGTTGAATCAACGATTAAACCAAGCACACAGAACAAACTGAACACAACGCAAATAATGGCACCTGCGTTTTCATGGTATTAGATTAAGTCTCTTTCATTCCCTGTATTAGTTCATGTCTGCTTACTATGGGTCGATGCAAGGCGCATCAATTTGTTTAATTAACACATTACACATCCCTCTACGTGCCACTAACTTGTTAATCACAGTAGATCCGGTGTTACAACCAAACCTTGAGGTTATAAAGGAAATCGTTTGTCAGCTGGTCCGATTGATGCTTCTGGGTGAGCGTCTCGGCTTCCTTGGCGTGCAGTAGGCCTTCAAGCTCCCTCACCCGGGACTGCAATTGCACCACCGACATCTGTGGAATTCACTAGAATCAGGACCAAGACGCCGATCAAACATCCACGGGAAGCCTTGAGTGGATCTTTATATCATTTCAGGCGAGGCAGTACTCAGAGCTCAATGTTCGGACGATGTATACGTCTTCCACCGAAGCTTTTGCTTTTAGAAGGGAGATAGCCTGTAAAGAAGTTTCCACAGCTTTGTAGAGGCTGTCATGCAGCGTTCCCACATCGGAAAGGGCCAGTTGGCAGCTCTCAGCCCGTTCATTTTGCTGAAGACGATCCCCACAACGTTGCACACAGCAGTCCACACAGGAACTTTTAGCTTGGCTACATGGCTGTGCCCTCATCTGTTTTGAAGATGTTGTAAGAGCATCTTGAGAAAAGCATTCGCTTTGATCCTTTGTTTGTGCGAGGTCAATGCTTTGTCATATCAAGTCATGCTCTGCCAAGTCAAGACATCTCCTGTACTGTCAATTCTTGTTTTGTCAAAGCCTTGTCATGTTTCGTTCTGTCACTTGGAGCCATGAAGAAGTTTTGTCCTGAGAATGGGTAGGTTTCAAGCAAACGACACACAAGTGCGGTTGAAGTGCCTCTGCTATTACTTCCTTACCACGCACTCAAGCAATGTTGCCCACAGAGAACGTGCATCTATTTCTGGGCATGCGCCTGACCACACATGCAACTCAACGTACTGCGTCGTGCTGCAATCCTGGGTGCTGCCAGGGTGCCATACCTCCCTACAATGTATTGTTTAAGGCAGCCATTACCCAAGCATCCCTTAATGACAGATTCCCCATTACGAATGCTGAAATTGGTTAACTGAAACCATTTTGTCCAGGACGAGTTTCCTGCTGGTGCCATTTGCCTAGTGAAGGCCCCTTCCCGACCCTGACCGACACGCACCACCTCTCCAAGTCCCTCGTTTCTGCGTGCAGGTGCCCAGCGCCTGCCGTTCTCAACTGACCAACGCCCATCGCTAATCATCAGATCTGCGCTACCCAAACCGCTGTGGGGGATCCCCACCATGAATCAAGCCCCAACGAGGGCCCTTGAAGCGTATCTGGCAATCGGTGCCCGGGCTGAACAGACTACGGCTCCCCATGCCCGGCCACCCCGACGGATGGCTTTTACCAGGGCAAGGTAGAGATGAAACACTCCCGCCCTCTTCATTCACAAGAACTTTTTGCTGTCCGTCATGCATCCAATTCATCCGCTGGCCACCCGTGTGTGTGGTCAGAAGAAAAGTTCTTGCCTGCACACACGCCTGTTATCCTTTGCAAGGTGCAAGGGCACCGATTCACCCTTCGAATCCAACTTTAAGCAACGGAATTCAGCCCTCATTCATTCCCAGACACGGCTGTCTCACAGTCGATCCAGGGCAAATGCTCCTTGTTCCCCGGCCCCCCCCCCCCCCCTACCCCCCCTTCTTCCCTGTGCATGCCGCGAGCTGCCGCGCGTGCCGTTGATGCCACTGGCATCGCAAATCAGGTGCCAGCCGATGGATGCCGATCAAGCATCGCCGACAGATGTTCGGACCAGGGCACGGTGGGGGAGCGATTGTTACCCGCGAAGATCCGAAGTCCCGACCGCACTGCTCTGACGATCCGGGCCTGGTCGACAGCAGGGGGGGCGCGGCGCCCCCCACGGCGTCCCTGGGCACGGTGAGGAAGTCCATGGAGGCGGAGGGGCGTTGGGGGAGAGGGAGGGGGGCAGCCAGTTGCCTGCGGTTGGGCGTTTGCGAGGGTGCCAGAAACTCGTCCACGCCAGTGACAGTTCGCGAGCACGTGTCTCCAATCGTTGCTTTGAAATATTGAACCCTTCCGAAAATTTCACCGTTATGCTTTTTGCTCCGCATTTTGTTTTTCACAGCGTTATTTCTATTTTTTACGTTGCTCCGCACAGAAAGGCAAAGATTTGCGTTGCGATTTGTATAATCTTCTCCACAAAAACAGACCAAGCATTACATTACTATGCGGCAGGGTTTGTTATTTGCAGTATAGACATTCTACCCTGTCCTGTTGCCCAAAAACACAACTGTTCGCGTTGGGTTGCTATTTTATCTGCGAGAGTGATTATTATTTTGGGGGGAAATGGAAAAACTGTTCTTTTCTGCAACAGTAGCGACAGCTGTTGCGTGACATTTTGGCTTCACGCTTGTCACACCAACCCCGCGCGATCCATGAGACCTGCTGTCACAACGTCGCTGACGGTGCTTCTATTCGGAGAAGGCGCCGATAGGCTAAAACAGGAGCGTTTGGGGATGCGCAGCGTCCCAAGTTGGTATGGCACCCGGGCTGGTAAAACAGGTCCCTGGTACCTGGAGTTTCCGGAACTTGGGTGTCTGGGAGTACCCCGGCAATCACGAACACCCGAGTACCCGGATACAACCAGTATCCGGGTCCGGGCATGTACCCGGGCACAGAAAGATTCCCCCCGGTGGTGACGCAATGCTGCACAACGCTGGCCGACCACAATCCACCGCTCTTGGCCGGCTGGTGTCCAACGGAGGCAGCGACGACGACGACCAACCCTACCGAAATGACGCTGCTGGGGCCATTCGGCGCCCTATTTGGCGCTGAGATTCAGCCGAATTGGTTGAAGTTGGAAAACCCGTTCCTTCCACGTTTTGCCTTTGTGGTTTTGCCAAGCCCCTGTTGCCTTAGTGTGTTGTTGTTTCAGGTATTCTGGCCAAGTGTTTCACGGCCACCAACGCGGTGTGTCCCGTATGCCACCTAGGGCCCCAGACAAGCGCAGCCTTCACCCACGCCGTTCGAGCAGGCGGCGCAGGGATCCCTCGGGCAGCGAGCAACAGCGCCAGTGGCCGGTGATGGCCGATCGTCGTGGTGTCACATGGAGGGCGGCGAGTAGGCAGATCAGTTCAAAGGCCCCATCGGCTTCCCACATTAGTCAATGCCGCTGTCGCAAAACTTTGTACTTTCTAAAGATAACAACCCATTGTGGAGAAGAAGGTTAGTTTGGCACTGTCGCAAAAGATGTCATTGCCATCATGCACGGGTAGCCACATAATGACTGCCGTTTCACTGGGTGGATCAATTATTTCTAATGGCTAGCAATTGTTTTGCATTCAAGAGAGCATTTGGTTTTGCATGGGATGGCCGCCACTACGAAAGTCACCGAAGCTATTCATTGACTTCTTCAATATTACGCCTATTTCTTTTGACCTCAATTGGCTCATGGGGTACATTTTATCACGCTTACTTTTGTGTGGGACAACATAAGATTTTGTGGAAAATTGCTATGCAACCCACATGGAGATGCCTCAGTCTAGGTGTCTTGCCCACAAGAGGCTAGTTCGAATTTCCCATTTATCACCTGTATTAAGGCGGTTCGCTATCTGTTGAATGAGTTCTGGCGTCCAATCATCGACAGACTTCTGGCGTGTTAACATTCATGCCGGTGGAATCTGCGGAATGTTACTTTCCGCCTTACTGGTCTCCTTTACAACACCTCGTGTTCCCCACACAACAAGACCTTAAACTCACAAATGTCTTGGTGTCCATCACCTCATTAATACAAGATCCGATTGGCTACCCACTTGAAATGCGCCCTCTCTTCGTATAGTACTTAATGCCGCATTGATGGTGACTCAACCCTGAGTTAGCCCCCCTTTTCTCGTACTCAACTCCCTCTCCATCCCACATCGAGCTGAAACTCGCTCTATTAGGGTGGGCCGGGTGGGTGCGAAACAAGATAAAAGTGGCGCCAAGGGTCACGCCCAAATAGCCATTCCCACTTGCCGCCAAACCCAAGGGCCAGCTTGACCGGCCCCCTTGTCTACGCCCAGGTTACAAGGATCACCCGGTTGCCCCTTGGATCCGGCAGTCACAACTAGCTCCGGGTACAGGGGTGACAGAAACCGGCAGTTGATGGCCCTAAAACAGCCCAGAAAGGCAACCCGGCCCAGACTGGCCGGCGTGCGCCCACCCAACGCCGTCCTTGGCAGAAACTCAAGTAGAATGACAAGTAGAATCAAGAAACATGACGGTAATGATGATGCAACACAATCACCGTCATCATTGCCCTGAAAAGATGTTGTGCCAACACATGTTGTTGCCATAACATGATAGTTAATTATATGTTCACGGTTTGCTGCTGGGTACGGCAAGTCGTCATTGGACTCTCCAATGCTCCAGGACCCGCCGTCCCCGGCGTTCCTTCCCAGTTTGCATCACGAGATGTGGACTTGCTGTGATGTTATAGATGGGCTGGCGGACGAACTTAGGAATCCAGGTACGTGCGCCAGTGGGGGCGGGCCCGTTTTGCCACATTGTCAACATCGATTCAGGGCAATGATGACGGTGATGGTGTTGCATCATCATTATCGTCATGTTTCTTGATTCTACTTGTCATCAAAGAATAAAACATGGCCTTGCATGCAAGGACCTGTTGGGTGAGCACGACAGACCACAATAGGCAGAAATGCCAATAGGGTCATGGAATGTGTTGATGCACTATTGGGGACCAGGAGTGCTTGCCCGGTATCCATCCATGCATCTAATGACTAAAGGCTCGCACGCGGGCGGTGTGAGAATATTTGACAGTGGCGTCTTCCAAGGCAGCGTGAACAATCTTGGGATTCCCATTGCTGGTGCCGACCACAGCCGTTTCTAGCGATTTTGGGATCTTGCAACATCCTTCCTGACTGCTCATGCTAGTCTTGGCACCTGCAGCGACACTGACCATGCCGGTGGCTTAGACTCATCGCCACTGACTACAATCTGCTCTTCAACCGCTCAAGGTGGGTCTTAAACCTGCAACCAACCTGTCTGTATCGCTAGCATTTTCTGTAAACGCAGATTTGCGATATCGTCGGAAATTTGAATTTGCAATCGGCAAACGAAAATCTTGTTGATTTGCCCAACCACAGCTCCAACCTGCAGCCAGAAGTAAGGATGCAAATGTCTATATTCGGCGCTTCGCACTGGTGGCCGCAAGGCGACACAGCCAGAGGGCCCGTTTCTGTCAGCATCAATGACATCCCAGGAATTCTTGCAATTCGGCCTTGAGACACATGGGCTTGAAATGCATTTTCTGTTATCTCAGCATCCACTCCAGATACACGAGCGCAATGGTATGCTTAACAAAACACCCGCCACACGGTGCAAATATGGCCTCGCAAATACGACCCAAGCCTGGGCGCAGCGCCGGCATGCCAACAAGGAAGGGTCGATTACTGAACCAATTGTGCTTGTTTAAAACCGCTCCGACAAACTTCGGCAAGTGAACCGCACCCCCTAACATATTCGTTCTCCTTCCACGCCATTCAAAGCTGACCAGTTCAAAACGCCGAGAAATGGCCTGGCCCCAGGGTCCCTCTCTTTGGGTCCTGAGGCCCAAGAGGCTGTCGACAGCCTTCCCTGGTGTGTGAGGTCCCCCAAAATCGGGCCACCCTGCGCCATCGTCTTGCTGTCCTTGCCGCACCCTCTCGATCTCGGCCTCCAGCCCGCGTAGCCGCTGAGAAACGACCAAGGAAGGTGGCGGTGCTCATGCGTACTCTTTCCGGAAAGCTTCGTTGAATTTCTTGAACTTCTCGACGAATTCCTTCATCTGCACACAAAACATTTTGCCACTTTGGAGGCCAGCTCGAATCTGCTCAACGGATGCAACTGGTGCTGTGATTGCGCTGACACGATGGGACTCGTCATGTTCGGTAGGCGATATGCGGGATCAACATTGCCACTATCACGCAATCCAACACATGACAATGTGAAGGGATCAACAGATCAAGTCAATCCAATATTGCACCCACACCGCCGTCTGCACGGTGGTCAGCTGTTGACACGTTTTCGAGCAAAGTGCATGCCAAATCACAACGCTCAAGCCTCTCAAGCTGCGTAGAGTATTCACTGCTAGTCAACATACTCCCACCGTTCAGTTTTAATACTCATATTAACAAAACTCCTCACAGAGGAAATTTGCCATCAACTGCTTCAAGTCTACACAACACAAAAAGTGCATCACCCCACCAGCGAATCCGACCCGAACTCGGAAGGGCTCCTGGCAAGTGTGTTCAGCAGTGACACGTGGCATAGCCCATATGTCGTATGCTCACGTCCTCTTTAAGAGGACGTGAATGCCTTAACAAGAAATGGGATCCTTAGCCAGGATACATTCAGCCACTCGTTCACTCCTGCAAAGTGCGTGGCCCCACCTTCTCCTCTCGGGGCAGGATGGTAGTTCTCAGATGGAAGGTGCCCTCCTTCTGTCCGAATCCTGACCCAGGCACTGTGCTGATGCCTGTCTCCTCCAGCAGCCTCAGGCAATAGAACACATCGGGGCTCTTGCCCAATGACTTGGCCTTTTCCACGGCCTTGGCCGGAATCTCCACCTTTGGCAAAGGCAACACAAACAAGACCAGATCAAAAGTCTGTTGTTGCTCGCTGGAAGCGCTGTGCTGTGGCCACAGCAATTTAAACAGGGGTGCGGGGGGGAGGCGTTCAAAGATGGTGCTGAGAAAACTGCTGCATTGCTGGACATCATTCCTGAAAGGATATAAACAACAAAGAAAGACCACAGCAAAATAACGAAGTAAGCATCTTGCCAGGAAATACACATTTCGTTTCAGCGTTTTTTCTTGTCATTACTGGAGAAAAGGGACTGGGGCCACAGTTTGTCAGTTGTTTTGTGTTTTCCTCCTGCAATCGGAGCCTGTGCACCAGTGCACCATCTTCCAATACATGGACAAGGGCCTTATCTTCTATTCTTGCCATGGAGCAGGGCCCAGGTCCTGTGCACGATACGTTTCTCATTTTGTTCCTTTTTTCCTGGTCTGCTCTTTACCTCTTCCTATTCTTGCACTTTTCTTCCACTTTTTTTTTGGAAAATGAACCTTGTCCCCACCATTGCACTCAATATGAATGCTTCCCACATGAAGAGCACTGCCCGAAAATAATAAAAACCCAAAGCAAACCTCCCAAACCATTCATGGGCATGCAGCATAAGACACAGCAGGGGGCCTGTGCCGAATAGTTCGCAAACCAACTTTGTCACACAACCTTTTGGCTAAAGATGCACTGGGTGCCGAATCTCACGACACAAGAGCATACCTTGGGGAAGGCATACATCGCACCCTCCACAAAATTGCAGGAGAACCCCTCCATGGCGTTGAAGCCGTCAGTGACAAGGTGGGCCCGTCGTCTCAAGCTGGCAATCTCTGCCTCCCTCTCCTGCTTGTACTGGTCATAAGAGACGTCTCCAGGTTTAGGGGGGTTGACAAGAAGCGACATGCTGACCTGCATTGCAGCACGGGATGAACGGTTGATAGATTCTCATATTTTTCAACTGAAGGTGGAGCAGGAGCAAACACAAAAGTGCCCTGATGTTGGATGCACCAGATACGACAAGGGAAGAGGCGCGCTGGTACGAAACTGGCAAACAGTAGTTGGGAGAATATTCTTATATATTCTTATATGCTCTTACATATTCTTCAGCTAAGTGTGCTGTTAGTGCAGTGTTTTGTCAACACAAAACACAGGAGATCGGCGTATCACTGCCAGAATTATTGATTCTTGATCTGTTAATTCTTGCTATGTCAAATCATATTTTTTCTAGTGACTGCCGACCCACCAAATTGCACTTGGAGCGCAACGAGTCGAAGCATTACCACCAAGTCGAAGTTGGTAATCAGTAACCTGACCTGGAGCTCACGAGGGCACATTTTTCAAGGGTAGTGCCAAGCCACTGGTTTGCACATGTCTGCATGTGCAGCACTATGACCACAAGGAGCTGTGGAAAGCACAAACAAGACAGTGCGGTTGGCAGAAGTTATAAGGGTAGGAACTTGTGCCCTATTTCTTGTCGCCAGTGACCGGCCTATACATAACGAAGCACAATCTTTCCCACAACTGTTCTAACCAAGACGAAATGGCAATGCAGACCAGCCTGGAAAGTCTGCATGGGGCAGCCATGCACCTGCCGTAATTGCATTTGTGTGGACCACGCACCTAATCTCAAGGATAAGCCTATGATCCACATATGCTCACCAGGCATGACAGAAGCAATGCACAGGTGCTCTGCAGTGGACGGTCTTTGACTGCATCACTGGCATTCGCCAAATTTGCACCCCAGCACAGGCAGGGCGATGTGGACAGCATTCTACTGCTCCATTAACATTAATTACTGCAATGTTCCATGTTATTCGACACTGCATATCAAGGATATACTTTTTCATCTGTTCTTGAAGGCGAGACACTTGCAAAGATTCACGACAAAACCTTTAAGTATCCTTGAGACATAAACAAGTGGCAGAAACAGGACAAACACTGCTCAAATTCTTCAAGGCTTGTCTAAGTGCACTGCCCATACCTGGCCAACGGTGTTGGGCGATAGATTGATCGACACGGCCTTGTACAGCTCTGCCATGGTGTCAGGGTGCATATTGGTGAACTCCGCGTAGCCCCCTCTCAGCCCACACTCCCCAGGGGACCCCTTGGACACAGTGTGGAAGGATATCAGCTCCACATCACGTGCTGCATCCCCACCCATCTCCATCAAGACCTTCTTGGAGGACACAAAGGGCAGCTTGTCTTGGTACACATTCTCTTGGTACACCTCATCGGCCAGAAGCACCACCTTCTCCTCGTGGGCAAACTTGATGAGCTCCTGCAGGTTGGCATAGGACAAACACTGCCCTGGAAGGGACACACAACGCATCTCGCACATTCTGGCTCTGTTTTCAATACAACACAAAGATGATCGTTCCTTTGGGAACATCGCACATTCCGTGCTTTTGGTGTGGCTTCCTGCAGCAAGTATTCTTATTGCCTTTGCGCAGTCAGCATTCTGTCCCAATGTGACACAGCCTGCAAAAGACCAGGACTTTTCTCTCTCTTCCATTGCTTGCCTTTCTCTTTCTCGCTTTGTTTATAGTTTGTCAACAAGGAAGTTGGTGAGAATCTGGTGACTGCTGCGGGATAGTTACAGCTCTGGGGAGACAAGAAAACTCCCCCTTCAGGTGTCTGAAGCTCTCCTGCAGTCTGACAAGAGCCAGGTGCTTGAAAACAACCACAAAAATCAACAGCTATCCCCAAGCCAGACCAACAATAGCAATTGACTGCAGGTTTGACACCACGATGTTGACAAACCAGATCCACGTGTTGATTAAGCATGTCTCTTTTCTCTTGCAGACTTCTTGCTTTGCGGCACTGCACTGTATATTTCACTGTACAGTGGTGCTCTGTATTTCACTGTACAGTAGTTGCACAGTACTCCACCAAGGTGTGCACTGCATTGGTTGCACATATTGTTACAATCTGAACCACGTTCTTTGCACACGCGAAAATAAGTGACTTGTGGACGTGGCACACCTGTGGGATTTCCAGGGTTGATGTACACAATGGCCCTCACACACTTCCCCTTACTCCTCTGATCCTTGATCACTTGCCGCACAGAGTTCATGTCCATGGACCATCCCTGGGACTCATCCAGGTAATAGCCAGCCAGAGAGCCACCTGTGTTGAAAAACGCAGACACAAAAGTATGGTATGACCATCAAAATGCAGCATTTTGGACCTACTCAAATGGTAGCAGTTGTTGAAAACTGTGCGTTTCAAGTCCACACTGTGTAAAATTAAGGCTGTATCTCAATGCTATGCACATCTTCAACCAATACACCAAGTCTCAGGAACTTCTCAAATATCTCAAGTATGTCAAAGCAGTGTGAACTATGTTAAGAAATGGCAATTAAACACATCCCAAGCATTCTCCATCGTGGCCTTGGCATTCACTGGTTGCAAGGAGCCAATACTCATTCAGTGAAGGGGACATGAATGCTTTGTTTCTGGAAGAATTCATGTACAGAAGTCACTCGAAGTATTGGTAGAATGCCAAAGAACGCAATGTGCAGCCAACACTACACTGGGATATCCTCATTCGCCACTGCGTTCAGCCTGGGAAAACAAGACCCAAGTGAAAGTGATGAAAAAGTGAGGAGCACGTACCATACAGGGCTATGGATGCCGAGTAGAGAGGGTATTGAGGAATGGGCACCATAACGACATCATCGCTGTCTCTGATCATCGCCTCCAGGGCCAGTCTCACAGCCACACTGGCGCCGTCCGTCAAAAAGATGTTCTGCACACAGGCCACGCACCGTCTGTGAAAACCCAATGCAAAGATGAAACACATCTTGAGAGCAGACCTGCAGCTGATATCCTCCCACAATTCGACACTGACCAAACCAGATGACCCACCACCATGTTCAATAAACATGCACTCTTACGACTGGCTCCAACATCAATCCTTGGCAGAATTTCTGCGCGTCTTAGGTCTTGCTGTGCTTCCAGCGCACTGCGCACAGCGCACAGTACGCTGGATCATATGCAACACAGAATTCGGGGGGTTCGACATCCCTCCTGCTGGTTGCGCATTATTGCATTTGGATGCCAGGCTCATGTCATGTGATGCTGACCAAACATGGAAGTGAAATGCCCGACTCTCAGAACTTGAAGGCTCACCTCGGGGTTTGCTGGGAAGCCATCCCGCTTTTCAATGAAGTCTGCGACTTCCTGCCTGACTACTGGGTTTCCCTTCGAGTCGCTGTAGGCTCCAATTCCCCCCTTGAAGTCAACTAGCAACTTCTTGGCTCGGGCGATGGCATCGGATGGGAACATCTCACTGACCTTTGGGTGATCCAGTAGGAATGGCGCAGCCACAAGGGCCAGGACCTAAGCCAGACAAACGCGAATATATGCACTTAGCAGGAGAATGCATAAGAACAGTCAGGGAGAACCTGGAATATGTAGGACAGCCATAAGATTGACAAAATGGGTCACAACACCAGCAAATGGCAATAGCTGGAATGAGTTGTGATAAGGGCTAAATGCATCGAGACAGGCTCCTTTTCGTCTTCATGCAGGGGCCTGTGACAAGGTGCTTAAGTTCCAAAATTCTGCGTGTACGGGTAACTGCAATCATATCGTTCTCTTGGGGCTGACGCAACTGGGGCCTCCCCAGGTCTGTGAGGTACGCTGCTCCACTAGGCACACTGACTGTTGCATATTCACCTTGAGACCAATGGAACAAACGAATGACTTCACTGTTTCAACAGCTGCCAAGTCAAATGGCACCCATGCCTGCATCAGCAGTAGATCTTAGGCCTGATCTCATCACATTCCCAACATGCCCCTATTTGCCCCTAGAGGCTGAATGCGTAACATGCGACTGGCAGTGCGCACATGCTCACCTGGCGGGGGAATGTCAATGGTTTGGCACCAAGGGCATGAGGGTTGCCAACTGTCCACCAAAAACACAACGCACAGTGAGGCCAAGTAATCTGTACCAATAATTCTCCTTAACTTCAACCTGCAGACTGTGGGGGACAGTTCAATTCTGAGGATATCAAATGCTCCAGAAAACAATGCAATGGTCGAGCAGCGAACTTGGGCAGGAAGCTTTCGCAACAAAAGGCAAAAAATGTCACGTGCACTACCATGTACTTCGCCTTGTACACCAACACGCACATTGCAAAACGCAGCATAAGTCCTTTGCAGTCAATTGCTCTTCTCCACTCCTCAAGAAACAAATAGTCCACAATGCACCCCAATGTCTAAGTCATAAGATTCACAGCAGGCTTTGGTAGAAAAAGGCCCACAACTGGAAAACAAAGAAAGGACAGAAACCCAAATTCTGCACAGTGACACTGGAAAGGGGCAATAAGGCCCACAGGCGATGTGTAGAACACGTTGCAAAATTTGGCCACAATAGACTGCAAATACATATGTAATATTCCCATACTTGGACAGAAGAGTAGGACGAACATCCAGGATAGCAACAAGTGACTCAGGAGCCTTGTGCTAACCAAACCGTGACATAGTCGGGAGGATGCTGGAAAGGGGCATTTCAAGCTTATGTGGCGGCATTTGCATTCAACCACATTTTTGAACCGTATTTGTGCGTCCAAACTCAATGCTGTTGCCACCATCGAGTCGCCCCCCGCCCCAGCGTGGCAGCATTACGCTTCCGTTAACACACTGCCAGCAGCGCCAGGGCTGCCAAGAACGAACAATTCACCGCCACCCGCGCTCTCCTCCTCGGCATGCTGCCGACGATCAACGGCCATCGCAGCGTACTGCGCGCAGATCCGCGTCCCTGTCCACGTATGGCGTCGCAATGGGCCAGCCACCGCAGCAACGCCGACAATGTGCCCACAAATGCCAACCAAATGCTGAAAAAATGCCCAAAAAATGCCGACAAATGCTCATGAAATACCCATGAACTCCCGACGAAGTGCTCCCGACGACCGCTCGATGCGGGCGTCGGAGCCGCCTGGCATTGACCAATGCCATGGCCGCTAATTCCCATCAGCACCCCCGTGGGCGCACCACCGACGGGAACCAATGACCGCCATTGCCGCATGCCCGGCCCACTCACTGCACGCACTGTCCGCGCTCGCCCCCTGGCATCCACCAATCGAACGCAACGACCCAAACGCCCGGTTGGCGACACCGCGGACAACGCCTCGCCCTCGACTTCCAACCCAAAAAGAGGCCAAAGAGCCAGTAAGAGCACCTTCCCTCCAAAGATCCCAAATGCAATTAACACCCCTTTACTCCCCCCACCCACGCCCACAACCAGGCACACGACTCCCCGACGCGCATCTCCACCAAAAACCTTCCTGCTCCTCGCAACCCAAACAAAGCCACATAAGTCCACAAACATCCCCACAAATATCCCCGTAAATCCCCACAAATCCCGGTTTCGACCCCCACCGTTGGTGAAGATGATCTCCTTGCCCGCCTTCCTCAGCTCCTCCCCCTTCAGGTACAGCTCCCCGCGCACCGCGTACTGCAGCTCCTTCAGGTCGGGGTTCAGCAGGTCGGGGTGCATCACCTTGCCGTCTTTGTGCGCCGGCCCGCCCATCCACGCCCGCCCGATCCCGCCCAGCGCCGGCCACGCCGCCAGCGGCGCCATTCCCATCGACCCGGCGGGATCCATCGCCGAGCAGCCCGCCAGGCTCATCAGCCGGGCGGCCGCGCGCCTCGCCATGGCGGAGATCTCGACCGAGGGCGGCTGGAAAAGTCTTCTCGCGCCGCCAAGGACACGGGTTGGGCGCTTGGGGGGGCTTGGAGGTTTCCGTGTGGGTAGACTTTGGGGGTGCCTGGGCAGAAGGGGGGGGGGGGATACGGAAAGGCTGCGGCGGGTGCCACGTGTGCGGCGGAGACGGAAAGGGAGGGCGGGCGTGGGAGGGGGGCGGGAACGTGCGGCGGGACTGGGCGGAATGCCGCTCCGTTCGGCGTCGTGCAGAAAACGGTGATGCGGCCAGAATGGAATGAATGGTGTTGATAGATGACATTGCGCGGAGGGGCCTGTTCCCCCTGCATCCCTTCGCTCCGCTGCAATCCGCTGTGCCGCAGGTTTTTAAGCCCTTCCGCATAGTGACGTAACGCTTGGCCTTTTTCTACGGACTAACGTAAAAATAACAGAAAATAACGCTCTGAAAAACCGAATGCAGAGCAAAAAGGTAACGGCAAAATGTTCCGATGCGGAAGGGTTTAAAAGCCTAAGGTACTCAGGCCCTACAGGCCGCCCTTAGGTTTCCCACCTCCCCTCGACCCTGCCGTCTTTCGTCAAGAGTGGGGCAGCCGATCTTGAATTTTGTCTGACCTAATGTGAATTGCCATTAGTGGGCTTGTTTAGGCGCACTGGAGCGCGGTGCCTCCCCCTTCGCTTCTTAGAAGTGGCGTAGCTGACGGCGCGTCGATACAGGACGGTGTACGCCGTGTTGTGATTGTACGCACTCTATATTGTGCAGAACTGAAAGAACCGGCAGGCAACATAATGTTTTCATGTCGTACAGGCCATATTTCCACATACGTCCGAACCAGAAGGCAAACAAAAGCTTTGCATTTGCTGGCGATGACCGCCGCAGAAACATGCAGTGCATGCTTCGTCAATTTTCTCAGATTATTACTCCTGTGGTTTGGCAGGTGACGTTCCTGCAACATCTGCGTTGTTTTGATGCTGAGGTCAAGTAATGTACTTTTCCGTGTCTTTGGTGTAAGCTGTGCCCTAATTCGGCACTCCAGGCTCGCGAGAGCACAGACGTGCTGCGTTTGACAACTATCACCAGCAGCAAAGCGCTGTCCATGAACGGAAAATGGTGAAATGGTTGTACTATGATTTCACCAGTGTAGTTGATCAACGACACAGGGAAAATTCATAATAGAAGCATTTCACCATGATGAAACGAACAAACGGTGTACGTGGGTAATTCACGTCAGTTTAGCAAACGTTTCGTAAACAGTATGGGCCATCGAGCGGACATCCACGATGCACACAAAGAAATCGACACATCTCATTACTCTATGGCTAGCAGCGATGGCCTCCCAACACTGACAGCATCAGGCCACCACAAAAGGCTGCAATCAATGGTGGATCTCAGACACTGTGGTGTGTCGCTGCGCAGCAGAGCACGGATTACTGTCCATCGCGGTCGGCATCGAACATTGGGCTGGAGCCTGTGTTGACGCTGAGAGGGGTTTCTTTCTGGCGCAAGGGAGTTTCCTTTCTGGCGTTGTAATTCCAATATTGGAGTTCTTGTCCCAGTGGCGCGCGTCCACTAACGCTCGCAGTCCAAGTTGTATCAAGACGCTGCACAATGCCTTACATTTGCCCATCCTGTGCAATGTTGGAGGGCGTTGTGCATGCCTGTAGTGGGCAACCTGCATGGACTTGCAAGATAAATGAAAGGTTTGTGATGCACTCACGGTCTCCCATGCAAAAGGAAAGGTTTGGTTTCGGACAAAGAAAACAAAATATACTGTGAGAGAGACACTGACACCCTAATGAGGCATAGATGGACATCAACAGTGTGTATCCGCTTTGAATCTGTATTTACCCCAATACTCCACTAAGCACGGCATTCAAGCGGATTATGGAGATCAGTGGAGTACTTAACATGCTCCATTATTGTTGTGGACCATTTGCGTGATCCAGCGGAATCGCGGAATCACAATCCTGTCCCGTCGCTGGATCCCAAACCTTCTACTCAATTCGGCCCTGGGCCCAGTTCCGGGCTCGCTCGCGCCACCCCGTCCTCAGTGTGAACGGCAGCTGCCGCCATGGTGACGTGAACCCCACGGCGCCCGGGCCGCGTGGACTCTTTGGCCCCGCGTCTGAGTCAAATGCCTCACAAAAACCTCTCGAGACCGGGCTCGGTTGGCCAACGCTCTTGCCTCCCCTCCCGGCTGGCCGCGCCGCGCTGCCCAAAGCGGCCACCGGTGCTCGCGATAGGCCCCCCGGGTGCCTTCCGCTATTCTCTGAACGCCATCCCGGCCGTTGAGAGACTGGGCAAGAGATCTGCGTCCACTATTTCCACCCGGTTTCTCCGCGGTTCCCTAGCAGCCGCGGGCGGCTGGGCGATCTCTTGCAGCCCAGCTCGGGGGGCCACCTCCCACCAAATTCGCTGTCCAGGGAACCTCGACATCAGAGGCTATTGTAGAGATCGAGGATCGCCTGCCGACTCCGCCGATAGGGTCGACGCTTGCGACGAGTCGTCTGGCGGGAGCCGTCGGCGGGGGGCCGGCCATGACGCGGATGCTGGCCGCGGCGCTTGTCATCGCACGCTTACTGGCGGAGGGGTGCGCCACGGATCAAGGTGGGCGGCAGGGGCGGCGGGGGAGCGGGGAGGCTGGGGAGTATCACCGGGACGCGCCGATCGATGGCGCCCGCCGGGTGGGCTGGTCTGCGGGGCGATGTCCCTTGAAGCGCCAGGCAGAAGTCACGTCGATTAATTGCCCCGTTGGGCGTTGCGCGCCATGAAAATCAGCCCACGGGTGCTTGCAGACGCATGCTGTTGACGTTGGGCGGATGCGCTTGCTTCTAGGCCGCGGTTCATGGATCGGATCCACCGGCGCTATCTGCGCAGCCCGGTGCTTGCTTACGCGTGGCGTACCCTCATGCCGTGCTTGCTAACGCGGGACGTTCCCTTCCCGTCCAACCCGTGTGGAAAATCCGTGCAGGCCCATTGGCTGGCTATTTCTCGAGTCCAGCGGGCTGTCCATTTTAGCCCGTGGGCCCCAGCTGGAAGCACCGGGCTCTGACGCGGTCCTGTTCCGCGCACCAAGTCGTGCATATGGTATCGAATGTGAAAGTGCCGCGGCTTTGCGTACGCCCACCGGCCCACTGGCGCCCGTCGCGCTCCCCGCGATCGCAACCCAGGGCGTGGCCCCCTCTGTGTGGCGCGGGACGCGGAGCAGTGCACATTCGGCGCACAGGTTAGGCGTCGCTGTGCCTTCTGAAGAACTTCACTCACGCACACTGCAAGGAAACAGGAGAGGTGCTGGACCCCGCGCGTGAGCGACGCTGGGCGGCGCTGCCCTTGGCGGGCCTCTCTCATCGCCGTGGCAACTCCTGCTCGCCCAGGGACGACACATAGCGGTGGTCATGGCTGGGGTGGTGTGTGTGTGGGGTGGGGTGGGGTGGGGCTTGGGGGTGGGGGGCCAAGTGAACGGATCTCCTGCAAGGCCCTACCTGTTCTTTCGCGGTGGTCCACTCGTCGCGTGCCCCTTTCTCGCCGGTGCCGGCGCCCGTGATTATGGGAATGGCCTCGGGGGTGTGCAGATCAATTGCTTGCGTTTTCGGTGTCTGATGCAGCATCCGCCTTGTTGACAATCAAGGCGGTGAGCAACCGCAGCGGTAAGGAGTAGAGCAATAGCAAGGTGCTGCGAGGGCAGAATGCGGTTCCCACACAATGCGCCTAAAGCCTGAAAATTTTGACAGAAAACAAAATGAGAAAAGCTACAACTTCACCTCCCGATGGTCATCAGACCACTGCTACCTGTGCCTTGATGGGCGGATGCTGGGGATTTCCAGCGCTATCAGGATGTCTGTTCCTCAACTAGATGGCTGAATCTAACTGGAATGCCATGCCAGTTTTAAACTGCAAGCCAGATTCGATGCCCATTTAAGGCCCAGATGCGTGCTCCAACAGCTTTTTCTTTCGTGTTGATATCGCAGACTTGGCCGGTCCAAACTCACCTCACAATACCAGGAAGATGCTGCAGAGAAAGCGCGGGCCAAGGGCAGATGACCCTCCATTAGCAACGCCGAAAATAGCGGTGAGTGCGCACCTGGGTCAGGTCATCTGGATTTTGCTTGCACGCTTGTTTGAACGCCAAGAATTGATCATTGTGGCAGTCGCAAATGAAACTGCCTTACAAGTCCTACATACTTGCATACCAAACTATTAGTCTCTACTGGATGCAACTGACGAGTGCTCTAGAAGCCCATCGAGGAACTGCCATGCCGCTGCTTTGTGCGCTCGCCGTCGAAACTGGGTCGCTTCCGTTATCCTTAATCATCTGGTGCATTGGTGAATTAGTTTGATTGTACATCATGCGGTGTTTTTAGTCATTTACTCTTCCACCGGGAGCCAACGGAAGGTTGGGTCTCCCTGTCTGTCAGAGTTCCTACAACCGTTTGGATTGTTGTCCAGGTTTGAAATCGACATTGTTAACTGGATGCCGCTATTGAGAACTCGATAACGGTGTGAAAGGCTTGGTCAACAAGGCTGACAATGGTGATGGATGAGCCTGGATTTTGAGACGCAAACGCCATTTCAGGAAATGCTGATGTCGCAAAGTACTGCTGCACGTCGAGTCTTGTACCAAAATGTTCTGACACAGCGTTTGTACTTATGCCACGAACCGAGCCATCACATAATTCTGTAAGAAACATTAATGCACTTACTATGACTGAATACAAGAAATCTGTGCCAAACCACGTGCAATCATTGCTTCGCCGAAGTTTCATGTACCAAATCACATTTTGCGTACCTTGCCGTATAGTCGACTTGACATGACCAATGGTATGCAGAATTAGGAGTTTGTCCAGTTAAACTCGGACTAATAAGAATTGGGCAGCGTGGGCCAATTTTGCTTTTGGAGGGATCTTCGATATTTACATGCTGAATTGGCGAGTTATAATTGCGCCGG